TACTGCCCAACTCTAAGATACGGTATCTCGCTTAAAGTATTTGTCGTTATTAGATTGCAGATTTTATATACTTATGGCACAAATCAGTGCTTATAAAATTATCCCAAATAAAATGGGCACATAATTAAACATAAAACAGTAAGTAGTTATATTGGTCTCATTAAAATTATTACAGAAAGAAATATATCTTTTTAAAACGCAAGCTTTATTTAATTAATGGTCATTGTTGTTTTGCATAATGATCTATGAAGTAACAATAACCCTGACATAACTCTGACAATTTTTATTTCGTATGCAGATCATTTATTGACCTTATTGTACTATTGAAATTGTTTCGTTGCATTCTTAAGGGTGTTGCACTACCATTTAATTATTTTATTTTTAACGCATTGAATTTCTTTGATCTAATTCAACTCTAATTGCGTTCTCTGTGAATTTAGGTTTCTTAATGGCATCTCTTTAAATACTGTAGCATTCGAAGACTCCGGAGTTTTAGTTCGCTCCATAACCACGCAACCGGTTATTTTACTAGCTCATTTTTTTTTAATAATAATTGAACTCGAAATATCGAGTAACTTTTGCACCATGAACGTTTTATTTTATATTGTCATTTTACAGTGATATACTTTCATACATTTCGAGAAGGAGAACTACTTTTACTATGAGAAAATTAGCTTCTATTTGAAACTCGCAAAAATCGACTTTTAGTTCTGCTTGAAACGATAAAGAAACATCTATTAAAGATGCCTATCAAGCCTGAAGCAAATCGAATAGCAATCTCGTGAAGTATCGAATTCACTAACTCGGAAAATATCGTCCATAAAAAGAACGCTTTTAAAGTTGCAAGCCCTTCAACGTCCTATATCGTTCAAATTCGTTTGTAATACTTCAGACTTATATTTTCAACATATAAGCCAGTAAAAACTGTCTACTTTTTCAAGCAGTTCAAGTAGGACATGCAAAATTCACTAACTTTGAAAACATTCCAATTTGATCACTCTGTGACATGAAACTCATGGAAAATCTATGGCAACTATTGCATTAAAAAATTACATCATTACTAGACTGCGGATTCTCATGCAAAATAAAAATCTACGTCAATTGTAAGAAAGAAACTAAATAAAAATTGTCTACGTCAATAGTAAAAAATAGAAACTAAATAAAAATTGTCTACGTCAACTACAAAAAATAGAAACTAAATAAAAATTGTTCTACATAACTAAATAAAAATTGTTCAATTGCAAAATATAGAAACTAAATAGAGTTGATTCTTTTTTTAATAATTTTATTACATTGAAAATAATAATCATTTTTTAATTCTTTTAATCTCTCTACTATCTTAAATCGAAACTACTCATTTCTGCCATAAATGCATATAAAATCCGCATGACAACTAATAATCGGATTGAACAATCGATTCAAAAAATTGAATCAGCATGACATTAGGAAATATTATAAAACTATAATATTGAACGCCAGTATGATATCAAAAAATATGGGAAAACTATAATATTCATGGTCAATATGGCATCAAGAAATACAAGACAACTATAATATGCGAGGAAGGATAAAAAGTTGAAAATCGTTGCTGTTAAAAACATAACAATATATTGCATTATTAGACTGCCGATTTTATGCATTTATGCCAAAATTGACTAGATGAAATACCAAAAGATGAAATAACAAAGTTATGATAGTTCTTATGTTTTCCTTAATTTATTACATTTATTAGAAGAAGAAATACATTTTTATTCATCTCCATTTCTTAAAATTCATTAAGAAAATTTTTATTTTACCTAAAAATTTCTTTCATGAAAATTCTACAAATATGGAAATATCGCAATAAATAATTGTATAATATCTTTAAACTTGAATAATTTTAAACAGACAAACAATAAAGAGCGAAAAATTGCTGAAAACTGTAATGTATACCTGTCTAAAAAGTGTATAAACGATCATAATAACCGAGCGATGTTTCAGGAACGGGGGAAGAGAAAAATGAGTACTACAAAAGCTATTACTTTCAACGCTACACGAGTAAACAAATAGCACAAATAATACTGGCACACTGTTGTTGATATATTCCAATAGCTTAGGGTTCAGACAACAAATATTTTTCACCTTACGCAAGAGTCGAAAAATCGTATTTTGTGCAGCTTTTTGGATCCAATTTTCCACTCCGCACCGCACAGTGAGCGGTGATATGGACATAACTGATAAATCCAAAGTATTCAAATCATACATATTTTACAGAGTTTATTATCCATCGTTTTTACCAAATGTATCCATATATTGTCGAAAATTAAACTAGTTTATTCCAAGCTTCCGTGCATTTCGTTGAATACTTGCCATTGCCATAATTTCTATGTGATAAATTTCACGATTTGTTTTAGTGTTGTAGTATATTCAAAGATGCTACATAGTTTTTTACAATATTTAATAATTTATACAATTTTTTATGTTTCTTTGTTTATCAACTTCGATGTGACTTTAAACAGAATCACCATCGTTCAGATTTTTTGTAAGCTATTTCAGAAAACTTTAAAGTTTTAACATCGATTTTAGATGTCCAAATTTTCCCGTAAACGAAGAAAATAATCAAAATCGTTATTGAAATGTTCATGACTGAAGTCTCTAGTCTCCCGGCTTCAATTTAGCGCCAATCACACACACAAGTTCCGAGTAATAATATAATAATATAATAGTTTAATGCAGGTATTCTCGTAACTTAAAATGCTTTGTATGTTTCCTTATTTACTTAGTTTAAAAAAAATGCAATAATATATATTGCAAAGAAATTATTAACCTACTAAAAAATCCAGGCAACTTCAATCTTTTTGATATAATTGTGTATCTTTTGTATTAATCGGCGTATCGATGTATTTCTCTTAAAAAAGTGTTACAGGGTACTTATGTTGAAAATTCACTGGTTGTTCACTGGTCCAGACGTTATGGGTTTTGTCCCGAACACTCATAAGGGCCGTACACTGTACGTTTAATATCATCAAACATCCGAAGATGGGTGTAGGCTGTCTTCGACAGCTGATTGAAGCGCTATAGCTCCATTTGGCTCATCTAATGAAAACCTCGAGCCGTCTAGGCAATTTTCGAGGAGTTCAATTGTGAGGCCCGCGGATCCGCGATCCCCTATAGATCAGCGACGTAATGAAGGCGTGGACTAGAAGAAACTCATGCAACTGGAGTTCTCTATTACCCCGCGGGTAATAATAAAGACGCCGCTACAAAGCCGTTGTTTCGTGACTATCGGGAATCGATAAAATAAAATAAATAAGACAGCCCGACCAGAAGTGCCGCATCTGCCCCGGGAACCTTCTCCGGGGTAGGGGCTAATGGATACAGCGGATAGAGAAGTAATAGAAACACAGCAAGAGAAGTCAAGGATATATACGGGGGAATCTTGAGCTTGCCGGGACTTTCAATGGGGAAAATATTTCCGGCGAACCTTCTGTCCCAGGAACTTGCGAATTTATTTCATATCGTTGCGCTCGGTTCGTTTGTCCGGTTCCCAGATGCTTGGGCAACTGTAGACGATCCTACTAAAGCTCTAGACTTTAATCCTCTCTTAATCCTTGCGAACTCCTCAAGAAATTCTCGCATCTACCATAGTCGCTGAAAGTTCCGAGACATTGTCTGCTAACATACGGTGGATCAAGAAAGTAGCTGAGTACATCCACGACTTCGAAATGGTGTAATTTAGCGAAATTTAGTCACATGATAATTAATCTGGGCTTATTTTGAAGCTTGGAGCTTCTATGTTTCTTTTTTCTTTCTTTTCTTCTAAGATATTTTCGCTTGACATAGAGAGTGGAGAACTGGATGTAACTAAAACTTGTTAACGTAGTGTGGCTCAAGAAAGTAGCCGAACACATTTACTACTTTAAAATGGTGTCATTTAGCGAGAAGGAATCATACGATAATTACTCTGGGCTCATTTTAAAGCTTAAAGCTTCTACTTTCGCACCCCATCGTTCGTTTCCCTGTAAGATACTTCTGCATGATATAGTAGTAGATAGGAAACTACGGGTGTCAACACTGAGTAGCTCAAGAAAGTATTTGAACACATTTCCGATTTTGAAATGGCGTAATTTAGCGAAAATGAATTGAACGATAATTAATGTGAGCACATTTTACAGTTTGAAGAGCATCGACTTTCGCAATCCATCATTTAATTTCTCGTAACATGTTACGTGATATAGGAGGCAGGATATTGAAGGCTTGTTAATAGACTGTGACTGAAGAATCTGTTTAAATACATTTCTGGCTGATTTCGTATTTCACAATCATTGAAATTGTACAGTTACTTACTGTAATAAATTACTGAATCGATTTATTTATTAAGGTTCATATTTGATACGCTGGTTGCTGAATTAATAAATAGAAATAATGGCTTCAAACTGTTTACTTCATAATTACTGGAATTATAAAGGTGCTTTTAAATATAAATAAGGAACAAAATTAATGGAAATGAAATTTCTGCGAAATCTTGATCAATGCAGCTTTTGTTATATTTATAAAACAGTTCAAACTAATTACTTTTAACGCTTGTTAATACGTAAATAGTTTAAAGATTCTACTTTATTGGAATCAATTTATTTTACTCTTTTTCGCGCCATTTGTCATTTTGTTTTGTTTACATCTTTTTTTTTACTTGTTTTCTTCGATTTGACTTTAATCCATTTATTCTTTCACTTTCACGGCATTTGTTCGTTCATGTTATCCCATTTTGTAGCATTTATTTCGTTCTTTTGTAGACAATTAACTAACCGAGTGCATTGTACCAATTTTTTAAACATACAACAAACATACAAAATATGAAATAACGCTAAAATCAGACATTGTTACATTTAAAGCTCATTATTTAACAAATATTGTAATACACACCCGCGGACGCCACAAAACTTTTGCTTTGTTCCATTATAATTTTGCTCATAACAGGAAAAAACATGGTTACGTATAATATGAAAACACTGCGTTCGGTTAACAATGGTACGTTATGTAAATAAAAATTATAGCTTTAATAATAGGACGTTTTATGAAAATAAAATTTATGCTATGAGCAGTAGTTACGTAATGTTACGTAAATAAAATGTATACTATTGTTAACTGGACACAATGCCTTCATATTATACGCGTCATCATGTTTAATTTAAATAAATATTAAAGTTACTGTAGTAAGAAGCACGCACTGTGTCGCGCAAAATTCCAAGTGCTCGCCTTTCTCAATCATCAATCCCAGCATCCGGATTCTGAACGAGGCGTGCTCTTAACACCCTCACTCTGCTCCAAGTTTCCCTCCCATCTGCTTTTCCTCCACACCTAACCAACAGCTGTTCCCACGTTACCTCCGGCTCACGAGCTATACGACCCTTATTTTCTTCCTCTGAAACGTAAGAACCCTGCCAAAAACAAAAAACGACACGAGGTTAACCTCAGAGTGGGGTATCCACGATTCTACTTGGAAAATACCTCGTTACCCGAATAATTATTCGATCCGGGGACAGGTCAGTTGTTTCGCGAACCTTCATTACAACGCGTTGCAACGTTTCGAGCAACGTGTAGAGTTTGTGTTTCAGTTGGTGGCCAGAATGAAACGAGTAGTGTTCAGAAAGTTTTGGTTGCTGTTTTAACTGTGTTAAACTGTGCGTGACATTTTGGAGAACTAGAGAAGAGTTTAATTCTGATAATTATCAAATTGGTACGATTTTATTATCCGTTTATATTTTTTCAGAATTAAATTAATTTACATGAAATATTATATATAAATTTAGGATATATGTTGTGTTTGTAATTTGTATATAATATGCATTTTATTTGAACGTCTTTGTTTGGAAGATCGTAATTTTACGCGAAGAACTATTCCAAATTCTTAATGAAATACTTGGCGTAAATATTTTTCCTGCTATCCATGGAATGTTGCACTTTCATATCTTAACTTTGCTTTAGAAATTTAACACACGTATAAGCGGTATTGCATTTCATCGCGTGTTCTGTATAGATAGTAATTGTTTTTCCGAGAATACTATAAATTTGCTAAGGAAATGTGCAACGTAAATATTATAAATTTTCTAAGAAAATGTGTCACGTAAATATTATAAAATTTCTAATATTTAAAATATATTAATAATATATAAAATATTTTTAAAAAAAACTTTTCTACATAAGCAGTGATCTATATTTATGAACTCTAACAACGAATTTCCCACACTTTTAAAAAGTACGATAGAAAATACATTCACCAAAATGTACAAACAACGCGAGTGGTACCAGGCTTCGCCGTTTACGTTTATGAAATCGATTGAGTCGTTGGAATCGGTGTAAAACCGACGAATAAGCAATAATCGTTGTGAAGAAAAGTGGCGAAACAAAAAGACCAGCAAATATTTCCGTTCGCCAGGAAAAGAGGCGAGAGGATAATATTTTGAGTGAGTAGGAAAGGATAATATTTCGTGTGTTTCCACGTTCTTTAAATTGGAATTGTAGGAACAGTGGCAACGCGGTACCCTTTCTCCATTTTGCTTTTTCCCTTTACACTCAATAAACCTTGACGGGTTTCATCCTGTAGCTCAATCTGCACGGCTGATCGCCTTTCCAACTAGAGTTCACAAAGCATGTGACCTCTTTATTCCTTTGTTTTTCCCTTGCTCGAACTATGGCCTCTCTCCCACACTCTTTCTCTCTCCCTCTCTCCCAAATCTCTCCATTTTTGCCGCTCTTCCTATTTCTCTCTCACTCTCTATTTCTCTCTATATTTCTCCTTCTTTATATTTCTTTCTTTATTTATTTCTCTCTCTCTCTAGATATATATATTTCTCTCTCTCTCTCTCTTTCTCTCTCTCTCTATTCCTCTCTATATACATATATTTCTGTCTCTCTATATTTCTCTCTCTCTCTCTTTCTCTCTATATACATATATTTCTGTCTCTCTATATTTCTCTCTTTCTCTATTTCTCTCTATCTCTATAGAGTGCGATGAAAATTCTATTTCTATATTTGTATATTTATAGTTAGCTGCTTTGGAAATAAGGACACTTCAATTTAATATTCTCTATATTTTACCAGTTTAATCCCTTAAGTGGAAATGACGAGTATCGCCTTGAACATTTTCTGTGGCGAACTCGAATTTGTCGACCGACGCTCGCCGGATACTGAAATGTTTAAAGACCATATAAATTTCTCCCAATTGTTAAACAAAAATTATCATGACATTTAAAATTCTTGTTACGACAAAATTGTGTCATAGTTATAACGAATTATTCGAAAATGAACAATATTAAAAAGGAATTTAAATAGTTTGAAAATTTACAATAATCCCAATTATTTGTGGAATTGTTTAAATGATCTTTTAATTGGACAAAAAATGTAATCATCATTTGTAAGTGAAATATTAATTTAATTTGCAATTTGTTATTTATTATTTAAAGTAGAATTTGCCCAACTCTGATTATAACAATAATTGTAAGCCCCTCAGAAAATAGAAACGTACGTCAATAGTACGTGTAAGAAAACATAAAGAATTCGAGAAACAAAGTAGATTTGGACGCTGAACATTCGAAGAAAGATAGGAGCGTTTTTCATATAGGGACAGAATTTTCTCCGCAGCCTGTGTTCCAACCTTTCTCCTCTCCCACGTCTCTCTCTCTCTTTCTCTCTCTCTCTCTCTCTCTCTCTCTCTCTCTCTTTCACCTTCGCTTCCGCCCCTGTACAGAGACATTCTTCCCCCGTTTTCACGATGTCACACGGTACAATACGCGCTCGAAAACTTTATTTAATGAACCTCTCCCATTGTGTTCGCCGCTCTAAATATTTCAGGTGTAATGATTAACTTTCGGAAAGTCTGCTCGACACGCCCGGATCCTTTGATTCCAGTTCCTGCACGAATATATCTCGTAGCAGATTTCAACGCGTCGCGATCTTTCTTTTACAGCTTCACTGTCGACCCAGAAATCTCAACGTGTTCCGCGAAGTTAAAGGGATTTAATTAGTGAAGTGGAGATCGAGGGGTGTGACACGGTCACTGTCCAATGCATCACGTGGGATGCACAGTTTCTCGTGCATAGCTACAGTCAGCGTCGAGTCACTTTCATTTTAGTCTTCGTATTCTAGTTAGAACTAAACGCACTATAGTGACCGATTCTGCGGTAATATTTCATTCAATTTTGATTTATAATAATTGCATTGCGGATTCTATGGTAATAGATCAGTCAGTTTTGATTTATAATAGGTTGCATAGCAGATTCTCCAATAATATTTCACTGAACATTGATTTGTAAGTAGACTAAGAATCTTTATGCATTTCTGATAAAAAGATAACGTGAAACAGAAACGTCAGAAGAATATAAGAAAGTGGACATATTATTTTTAAATGATTAAAATGATTAATATCATATTAGTATGCAATTCCTGTTTCTTGAAATTAATGATGATGATTTTAATTTTGCACTAAGATCCATAGCATATTTGTAATAGTTTCTAAGGTAATATATTTCACTCAATTTCGATTTGTAATAGTAGCATAAATGTTTCTACGGTAACATTTCATTCAATTTTGAGTTACAATAGTTGCACAACTCGTTTTCGTGTAATATTTCATTCAATTTTGATTTATGATATTTACACAACATATTTTGCAGTCATATATCATTCAATTTTGCTTTATGATAGTTTCATAACAGGAACTGCGGTAATATTTCATTGAATGTTGATTTAGGCTTTAAACCAGCGAGTTCTTATTTAAGAACTCAATCGAAACGGACAAATGTGTTGAAACAGTAAGCGAATCAATCTTGATCATAAAGAACGTATGTGGATTGAAACATCTGCGAAACAAAATTGATGTATATGATCTAAAAGGAAACAGAACTGTAAG